ATCGCGCACCGCTGCCAGAGAGCTGCGTGGACGGCGACCGCCAGCAGAGAGACCGTGGCCTGTGCCGGGCGCCTCGCAGCCAGCATAGCCGTTCATGGCATGGCCCGGCCCCGCCGCGCCCCCCGGACACCCCGGAGCCTGTCGCCATCGAAGCCGCGGCGCTGGCGACTGCGGCAGCATGCGCCTCGTACCGTCTGCTCCGCAGCTCCCCCATCACTGCAACGACTACCTGCACTCCCACGTCCTGGCCAGACTCACGCGCGCCCGCTTCGAGGACAGCCCACTGAGCCTGGAGGAGATCCTGTTGGAGGCAACTCGTGACGGGGGGCCAACCCTCGCCGAGGAAGCAGGACGAGCCCTCGACAAGATCGGGTCAAAGGCCGGGCGGAGCAGCACGCAGGACCTCAGCATCCGAAGGAGTAAGGAAGGGGCCTTCCTGGCCACGGCGATCCTCGTCCACGAAGAGATTCCACGACCTGGAGCCAAGGGGCGGCCCGAAAACCAGGGCCCCTTCCCATGTCCAGACTGGGCTCCGTTTCAGCGCCATCCGCACGGACCTCCGAAAGTTCATCCTCAATGCAATCACGCTCCTCCAGCCGCAGGAAATTATACCCTGGTGCAAGCACCGCATATTTGTTGTTCGCCACTCGACCTCAAAGAAAGCAAACAGTCCGAAACGCAGACAACATCGACAACAACAACAATCATTTTAAGAATGTTCGCTCTTACTGCCACGCGTGTCTTGCATTCCGTATACCCCAACCCTCGATACCCGCCCACTTCGTCTTCGATTGCACCCCCTTTCGGGGGGGATATCTTCCGTGTCGGCCACTGACTGAAGTGCGAAGAAGTCTCGAGCGAGAGCGCCGTTCCTGAGTTCGGGGGCCTCCCTGTCCAGGGGCTCTCGGAATACTTATGGAGAAATATCGAACGGGAGCCCTTGTCGCCGTGTCCGGGCCTCCACCAACTTGCCTAGAAAATGTAGCCGGCGTCGAGGCGAGAGCACGCCGAACCGTTTCCGGACATCCACAATAATTATTGTTAGTGCGAGGGACACAAATGGCGACAGCGGGGCCACGAAGGGCATGCACATGGGGCCACAACGGGCGCGACTCCTGGGTGCCTGGGTGTCGGGAGCGCGGCGCTTCGGCAAATTGCAAAAAAATCCAACGCAAGGCCATGCTTCAGTAAGTTGCAAGCAAGTCTACAGCGAGAGCGCGACTCCAGAGCGCCAGCAGAGCGATTCCTGAATAAATTGCAAGGAAGTCCCAAGCGATAGCGCGATTCCTGGATAAAATGCGAGGAAGTCTCGGGCGGGAGCGGGGGTCCTGGCTAAATTGTAAGGAAATCTCAAGCGGGAGCCGTTGTTGTTGTAACCCGGGGGTCAGGGGCCCAGTTTGAGCAGGAAGACTTTCCCAGTCAAAAAACAGGGTGCGAGCGTCGAGGGAAACTCTTTGATTAAGAAAAACAAACTGCACCGGTGGGGGGGGGATCAACAATAATTATTCTTCAGAAATGAGAATTCAACAACAACAACAACAACAACAGCAATCACTTTACCCGAACGCTCA